CAATGGAACATCACTCCTATGATTACGTTATTGTACATGGCAAAGGGAGTTAGTAGCTATGTAATTAAGGTTACTCATCAGTTAACTGGGTTAATTGAAAAGAGATGATGAAAATGTTCTAAAATTGACTGTAGGAATTGCTGCACAACTCTGAGACTATACTAATATCACTGAATTATATACGTCTAATGGGCAAATTACATAGTATGTTAATTGTATCTCAATAAAACAGTTTTCTAAAAAGGGCAGTGAGAAGGCTTTTGTAGGTGACGCTAAGGTATCTAGGACTAGGGCAGCAGGTGAGGAATGGAAGGAAGGCTAAGTCATAGAAAGCCTTTCGCATCAGGCTAATTTCTTGGAAATTTGTGCCTTCAAAAGTAATGAGTTCCCCACAAAGGGTTTTAAATAGGGGAGTGAAAGATCCGACTGGTGTTTCTGAAAGATGCTGCTAGTGGCTATCTAAAGACAAAGCTGAGAAGAACACGACACTGTAGCCTAGAGAGTTGGTGAGGAGACGCTTGATTAGCTCACAGAAAGATGAAGACTTGATCTCACTCAAGTTAATAGAATGGAAGAAATCTCAGGGTTTGAGAAAGAATACTAAGAGGAAAGAGATGCAACTTTGCAAGAACCTGAGATAAGGGAGCGAGAGGAGTCGAAGAACATAGGTTTCTCACTTGGGAGTCCAGCTTCTAAGGACAATACTGTCTGGCCCATTGTAGAGTCTGGGGAACTGGACCCAAGGCAATGGGGTCTGGGGTTGGGGAATTATACTTAGAGCCCTCCAACCAAACTCAAATGATACTGATATGTGGGTCCTATACCCAGAGATTCTCATTAAACCTGCCTGTGATTATCGTCTGGGTACTGGGATCTTTTGTTATTATTATTTTATCATTAGTTTCAAGTATACAGTACATTGGTTAGACATGTATATAGTTTATGAAGCAATCTCCCTGGTTTCTCTTTCTCTCCTCTGGCTCTGCAACCAAACTCAAATGATACTGATATGTGGGTCCTATACCCAGAGATTCTCATTAAACCTGCCTGTGATTATCGTCTGGGTACTGGGATCTTTTGTTATTATTATTTTATCATTAGTTTCAAGTATACAGTACGTTGGTTAGACATGTATATAGTTTACAAAGCAATCTCCCTGGTTTCTCTTTCTTTCCTCTGGCTCTGCCCCTAGCCAATACATTAATCCTGACTGCATTCCCTGTGCCATGCTCCCCAGTAGTGGGTAGTGCGTAGTGGGATTTTTAAAAGCTCCTAGGTCATTCTAATGTGTAGCCAAGGATATGAAACTCTGGTTTGGACACTTCCTTTCAGTTGAGGCAATAGAGGACATAGAGGACACAGCTGTTGCCTGCTAATTGCCTGTCACCCAGCAAAGCAAATTTGGCCTTGCTGAACCAAAGTGAGGCTCTATTATGAGCACTTGGGGTCTGATGGATCCATTCGACTACATGTTTGAATGTACTAGTCATTGTAGAAAGAAAGATTTTTTTACTAAGGAACTTTTACTTTAGCTAAGAAAAAAGATACTCAGGAAAACATTATTTATCATTGCAAAAACTCAGAGGCACCCCCAAATATTCAATAGTAGGAAAATAATTAAGCGAATTATACTGTACCCACTCTAGGACATTATGGAGTCATCAAAATTATGATTATTCAAACCAAGTAATAATACAGAAAAATACCTGTGCTTAATATTACATAGGAAAAAATCAGGATACTGAATTTAAATATACTATATAATTCTAATAATATTTTACAAAAGAGGGAATATTAAACATTAGACAAATGAATGAAAAATTTTTGAATATAATTTTAATTATGGCTCTCAGGCTAGCGAATTCACAGATGCCTTTTTTCCAGCTCTCCAAATTTCACTAAATTTTGTTATCTTTGAACATATATACATAAACACTTTTAAAAAGTAAAAACTTTCTTCACATTTAGTGACTTTTGTATCTTTAGACTCAGAGAAGAAAAGCTACAAAGGCAATAGAGCCAATCTCAAAACATTGGTTTCCATAGATCAAGGTGGAGCAGGTTGGCAATGAAGAAGAAAAAGATTTTTCGGAATCCTCCCTAGTTGTCATACTCGGTCTGTGTCCTATATTATGAAAACCGCCTGGCCAAAGAGGAGTCTACCAGTATCCCCAGAAATTCTGAATAATATCACAACTCCCCAAGAAAATAAGAAATAACAGGAGAGTGTTCAGGTGGGATCCATGTCCCACAAACCACTCTACAACATCCTCTTAGCACTGGCAAGGGAATGGGTATATTCCTCTCAGTAATTGTCATAAGAATCAAAAGATTTGCCAAAAATAAATAGAGAATGCCCACTTAGGCTTGTCCATGTTTGTGGTGTTCCAAAATGTCTTTTAAGTCATTTTATGAAACACCTTTTTTAAAAAAAAAACTTTATCTACAACTAGAACTGACAATAATAATTTCATTATGAAATCAATTTGAGGAGATCTAAGAAGGATGCATGAGCATCGTGACAGTGTAGCATCTTGGCTTTATGAATGCATGGAGGGAGAAACCTAAGCCAAACAAAAGGTATACTACTGTGATGGTTAATTTTATGTGTCAACTGGACTGGGGTGAGGGCTGCCCAGAGAGCTGGTAAAGCTTTATTTCTGTTTATGTTTCTGGGGCTGTTTCAGGAAGAGATTAGCACTTGAATCAGTTGACTGAGGGAAGAAAATGGCCCTCACCAATGTGGGCAAGCACCATTCAGTCCGTTGAGGGTCCAGATAGAATAAAAAAGTTGGAGGGAGGGCAAATTCTCTCTCATTTCTTGAACTGAGATATCCTCCTTTTCCTCCTACCCTCGGACACCAGAGTTCCTGGTACTTGGGACTTTGGACTGAAGGACTTAAACTAGGGACCTCAGGTTCTTAGGCCCTTGACCTCAGGCTGGGGCTTATGCTGTCGTCCCCCCTGTTTTTCAGGCCCTCAGACTCAGACTGAATTATATCATTAACCTTCCTGGTTCTCCAGCTTGCAGATGGCATCTTACAAGACTTTTCAGCCTCCATGATCACATGAACCAATTCCCATAATAAATCACCTCATACATATCTATCTATAGCTATATCTTTATATATTTACATATCGATCTATCTATATATATATAGAGAGAGAGAGATAGACAGAGAGATAGATATCCTATTTGTTCTGCTTCTCTGGAGAATCCTGACTAATACAGCTGCCTACATGTATGTATAGTTCTCCACACTCAATAACAAAGTTAAGAATTAGAAGATAATAAAGGAAAACGAATTAGAAAATCAGAAACAAATACAAATAATTCTTTAACTTTACTCTCAGCACTCAGAACAAAGCAATTAGTGACTTATTTATATCTTACTATAAGATATAAATATTCAAAACATTCATTAGGATCATACTCTGTGATGGGAAAAGACCAATAATAAGGAACTTATTGAACACATAACTGCTGAATTATGTGGAAGAGTTATGAAAAGAAACAAAACCTGATCTTGGGTGTTGGCTAGAAAGACCCATCAGAAACCAAAGACTCTTTCAAGCCCTCCTCACCTCTGCCTCGTAGAACCCTAGTCTCAGAACTCCCCCGTTCTTGTTCCAACTGCTGCTCTAACGCCTGCCCCTTCTAACCTGCCTTCCTTGCTCCGTCTGTACCACTAAAACCATGAGAAGAATCGTCAAACTGTCATTTGATTGCTTATAAATGTAGACGGACAATAAATATTTTTAAAATTCTCTTCCTACAATTAGATTGCAGGAGGGATTAAATTAAAGGTTTTCTATTTGAACTCTGCACTATAGCAGTAGCAAAATTAAGAATAAATAATAGCTAACATTATTAATCACGTCTGAATGCCTGTCACTTCACATTATTTCAACTACCACAGCTATCATTTGATGTCGATACCATTACTGTTTCCATTTTATAAATAAGGAAATCGAAATTTAGGAAAACCACGTAAGCTGCTCAGCATCACAGTGAGATATGGGAAGTGAAGGGATTCAAACCCAGGCAGTATCACTGACAGCCTGCATGTTTTACTATCCAGAAGACCACCCTGGATGAATTTGATGAAGCTGCCAAAAACTTATGATATTCAAACTAAGTTATCAACTCCCATGAAGAGAGGCCAGAAATCTCAGTCCAGGAAGTCTGACCAACTCAGGTTGGCATAGAACATGGCTCTTCCCTAAAACTTAGACGAAGATAACATCAGAACCATAAAATGCAGAACATTTTTGGACCCTGTGAACCACAGTTGGGAGCTGGATTTTATATGTTCTCTTCTGTGTGTACACGAGGGAGATAGATATGTGTTTCATTGTTTAAGGATGGAGCAAACAGCGAGAAAGACAGTGCAAGTATCATTCTACCACACCGCGCCTCACCAGAGGGAAAGTGCTTTGACCTTGTGAAATGAAAATGGCTTTGCTGGGCGAGAAACACCAAACACTAAAGCTAAATTCGAGGTAAACTCCTTATCTAGAATAAAACCAAAAGTAGTCTCCAGATTTGCAGAAAATCCTCTAAAATCTGTCAGGATGAACAATAATAAATGATCGGGTCCACAAATGAGTTTGCCATTAATTCTGGCAGGACCAGAAAATGTGTAGCCACAAATGGGATTGATATGACGATAGACATAGTCATGCTTAAAGAGATTTCAAAAGAAGGAAGCCGTAATATTGACATTGCTACATATTAAACATTTGAATATTGTTTACATAGCAATTCCTAAAAACCCAGACAATGATTATGAGTAGGTGTACTCAAATATGAATAAATAATACTGCTATTTTTTATAGTCACGTATTCACAGGGTCATTTTGTTACTATGGAATCACATATGATGTCATAAGTTTGACATTCTGTATGCACGCGTAGACTGAGCAACAGAAGCAACAAGAAATGGAGCTGGGGAGATGAAAACCTGCGTAACACCAAAAGAATTTCCATAGTTAAAGAAATGAGTCAAACATCTCTGAAACAGAAAAAGAAGGTGAGTGAATTAAACATCCTAGAACCTTGCCTAAGAGCTGAGAGAAATTAGACATCAGTCTATCATTTACCTCTGAGGGTTCTCTGAAATAACCTAATGATTTCAGATGATCACTGCATGTAGAGAATATGGAAGGAGTAAAGGAAATTAAGGAAGTGGAGAAAAAAGAAATTAAAGCGTATATTATAACTCGGTCCAGAAAGTCAGCGATTATTGAGCAAATGCTCATGGGTTAGTGATAAGGCGAAAACACAACTGCTATCTTTACAAAATGCATAGCCTCGTAGGAAAGAGAATACATAAAGTACAGTGCAGTGCTCAGCACAAATATATACAAAAGACACAGGCAATGCAGAGGAAAGCTTAACTCTGGGAACTTCTCCCAGGTCACGCTGAGCTGGGAATGAACAGTATTGAAAGGCGGAGGGGTTACAAGTAAATAGGGTGGCATATAGGCAAATATAAGCTATTTGGCATAAGTAGAACATAAAATATAGAGTGGAAGGCTTGCAAGTTTGAAGTATACAGGATACATCAGGGAGCTCCAGGTTTGTCTAACCAGTGAATAAAGACTGTATCCAGAAAGGAAGAACAGATTTATGTTTTATAAAAATCACCCTAAATAAATGGTGTGGATGAATCTAAAAGTTGGGAGGATTTGAGGCTACGAAACCTGATCAAAAGGCTATATAGTCTAAGAACACAGGCCCATGACGATCTGAGGCCTGGAACAAGGCAATGATAATAGGGATGGAGAAGAGAGACTAGATTTAAAATATCTTTCCGAGTTATGACAGGATTTTGTGGTGATGACAGTGTACGAGGTTAATGGAAGAATTGTAGTATTAGTTCTAGGACCACACAGCTATGCTGTTCTGTGCTGTCACCGACTCAATCATTCAGCTATCAGATTTTTCCTGGCTATAAGTCACAGGGCATAAAGAGATGAAGAGACTACCCCTAGTACCTTGGTCGAAGCTAAAAGTTGAGCTTTTTAAACAGATAAACAACACTAATCTTGATCATATTATAGCTACCACATAATCATTAAATGATATAAATAGTGATCCAATACAACAGTATTTCTTGCAACTGAAAATAAAAGCAAATATTTGAATAGGCATCCATGAAGTGAGTTCTTCCTGGGTTCTCCTACATGGTCTAGCTATTAGTTTGCTAAGAAATGTCATTTTACTCTAGAGGCAACGAGTAATTAGGTAGCATGAACGGAAGCATGCCTGTCTAGAAGTCCACACAGGATCTGTACCATATTAAGGTCCTCGATTTTAAAAATCAGACTAATATTGGTGAGACTTAGAAACACAGAAAAGTGAACCTGTGGTTTATTAAGAAAAGAGAAGTTTCAATTCAGCATGGTAAAAATGAAGGAAAAACTCACATTTAAATCCCGGTATCACGGACCCCTAGCAAATTCTCCCATAGCATTTCCCATACTATCATTTTTAAATGATAAATGCCATATGCCTTGAATCTATAAACCAACAAATTTCTACATTAAAAATTATTTATATAGTTCTGTGATGTGCTATTTTTATTCATGCTTGTTAGAACATGGCAAAAAAAGTGTCAAAACTTTATTTATATATATATATGTATATATATATATATATGATATTGGCAAAGAGACGATGCTAATTTTAATTTATCCTTTTATTCTCAAACTCCATGTTTCTAATGCCTCTGAGAGTAAAGTTAATAAACCTTCTTTGTTTCTATATTAAGAGTGAATCTGGAACAAAATACTCAAGAGACAGTCTAGAAGGAGAGAAAAGAAGGGATTCTGAGAAATCAGGGGTTCGTCTGAGTGCTCAGGTGAGCTGACCTCTTTAGAGTTGGTGAGAGAATTAAAGAGCAGAAGCATAACAGAAAATATCAGGGCCCAGGAAGTTCTGGAAGAGAAGACTGAGCTATTGAGATTGGTATTAAGGGTCACCTAATATCTATCCCTCATGGAGAGGTTAAGAAAAAACTAGGAGAAGCTGGTCCCTGCCTTCCCTACAGTACACACCCCATGTTCACGTAGACAATATGGTGCAGAAACCATAGCTGTCTCCTCTGCTCGGCCTATGGGAGGAGACTGGTCTTTGTTCACATCAGGGAGGGAAGGGGACTCTAGCCATCGCATTGACCATTTTCTGCACAATCTTTCAGATGAGGCGTGCAGTCAATCCGAATCACTTGCTGAGATGTCCCCATGCGTTTTTTAGACGCTGCCTTAGTGCAGCTGAGGGACCAGCCCTTCTCGGCCCCTGCCGCACAATACGTATTTATATTCACATGTGCCTGTTGTGGGAGCAGGGCCAGCAGATCACCATGATCAGGGTGAGCAGAGATCAAACTACTGATTTGGGAGGGGAGCCACAGTCACGCTGGGTGAGGGGAAGGATATGGGGAACAGAGACTCTTCCACTTGCCTCTCCATGATCTCCTTTATTGTTCTTTCTCATGAAGGGAATGCTAAAGGGCTTTATCCCCTCTTATGCAGCCGCCCCGGAGCCCTGCTGCAGCCTTGGTTAGGTGCCAGCTGCCCTTATCTTTGTAGTCTGGTCAGAAATGGTGGATATGTCTTTTTAGTATCTGTTCATGGGCTCATCCCTAAAGGAAGCAGTGGAAAAAGGGAGAAAAAATGGTCAACTCTACTAAGTATCATGTAAGAGGAGTCACAGGTGAAAAAAATATGATATGTCGGATTTGCTTCTTGGATTTGAATGCTCTTCTGGGTGGATCCCCACTTTGTTGTTCTTCACAGAAGTTAGGACTGGGCCAGAGCTGGCCAAGGACACGAGGGCCAAGACTGAATTACGGGTCATAAGGCCAGGGACCTTCTCATTGGGTGTTGCTATGTTTAGCCTCATGTGGCTATCCTGCAGGCACATGCATGGGGGGAGGGGGTGGTAGGGTATTACACCCCTGGGTCTCTTCTCGCCTCAAAAGGGATCACAAGAACTACTATCAAAGGCAGATTCTCGAGGGTACGTCGTGCAAAAGCAGTGGTCCCGAACTTCACGGAACCCTTCGACCAGAGCCCCGTCAGTGGATGAGCCCAGAAGCAAGAGTGCCAGTCTTAAGGTAAAGACGGAGGGGAAAGGATGGAGGACATGCCGGCATCATAATAACACTACTGAGGATGATGGTCAATGTTATTGATGTTTGCTATGTGCCAAGCCCTGTTCCACGTACTTTGTGTTTTATCTAATTTAGAGGCCCCCCACACACACACACACCTGTAAGCTCTATTTTACAGGTGAGAAAATGCAAACAATAATTTTCCTAAGATTTCACATTAATAACACTACTAGAGCTAGATTTAAACCTAGTATCTCTAAGTCTATAAGCTATATACTTAATGATTAAACTCTGTGGCTTCTCATTCCTTTCTTCATTCAACAACTATTTATTGAGTACCCAAGACTAAGAAGAGGGGGTGGAATGGTCAACAAAGAAGATAAATTATTGAGGAGTGTCAGATTGTAGGGTACTTTGGGCCCCTAACTAAGCCTGGTCACATAGGAAGAAAAGTTTAGCTTTGAGATGAAGTTTTTGAATACAGAGTGACACAAATCCAGCCACTGGAAAAACATGTATTCCTACCAAACAATCTATCTCTGTGAGGACTGGCTCAATAATCTAGCCAAAACAATGCCTCTCAAAACATGTGAAACAATCATTTAAAAAAAAAAAACCAAAATGACATATAGATGCTTAAAAATGTATTGCACAGCTTAGGAAGCTTCTCTAGAATGGTTCCTTCCTATTTAGGAAGGTGATTGTCTCCAATTGAGCTCCACAGACACACAAAGCCCTGAAGGCGATGGGGAGACACTCGATTCTCCAGCAATCACTGCGTTAATCACAGGGTAAATGTGGAGACAGAGGTCCCCCAGGTGCTTTGTAGAGTCTTCTGGTGGGAACATCTGGTCTAGCTGCTCATGAAGTTAACTGGAGGTCACAGATGGTGGCAGCATCGCAAAAGGCCCCTTACTCAAGCCCCCTGCCTCAGAGAGCTCTGAGCAGGTATACATACAGGAGGCAAGTGACAGAATTTTAAAAAATACGTGCCATCTGCCTAAGGGAATAGGGTCTATGCAATGTCTACATACACACACTCACACGCACACACACACTCACACGCACACGCACACACTCACACACACACACACATGCATTATGAGGTGCTGATGGGGAAACTAGGGGAAAATAAAAGCAAACTGCCTGTGTTCATTTAAAAGTATCTAATATCTGGAGCCTTGAGATGTCTAAGCTCCTTAACCCCCACTTATAGGAGTTGAGATGAACCGGGATCCATCTAAGAGCTGGGAACAGAATGGAGAGAAAGGGGCGGCTCCTTGACTCCAGCTGGGCAGAGATGCGGACAGGGACCACAGGTAACCGTGGAACTCAGACAACCATTTTCTTGTTCCAGGTCCCCACTAGCTCCGCAACCTCCCGGACTTCATCCACCTCCCCAAGCCAGCAAGAGTCACAGCACGAGCTGTCCTCACAGCCCTCCCCGTCTATGCCACCTGCGCAACGCACACCACCTATGCCTGTTGACTCGGGTCCTCCCACGCCCCCAGAGATCCAGACCCAGTCTGCGTCCCGGCGCAGCACCAAGATGCACGAAAACCCTGAAGTCTGGGCACATGGCATCGTGCGGGATATCCGAGAATCACGGGACACGCGGGACCCCCGGGACTCACGGGACGCCCGGGACTCACGGGACGCCCGGGACTCGCAGCGGGAATACCCGCGCACACCCCCCGCTGAATGGAAGTCCTATGGCCAGCGCAGAACGCACTATTCGTCCCAGCTGGACCGTGACTGTATTCCCGACCCGCCCCGGAAGCTGGAGGAAGAGGACGACGACGAAGAAGCCTACTGGGCATCCGTGAGGACACTGTATGAGAAGTCCCCGAACTGCTCGCGACCCCGGCCGGTGAGCAGGGCCCGCGGCCCGTGTACCCGGGGCGCCCCACTGCACAGCCCCACAGCCCAAGCCTCCCTCCAGCCTCCCTCCTCTCTGTGACGTAGGGAAGTCTGTCCCAGGCCCATCGCTGCACTTCCTCAAGCCTCCCTCCCGCAGCCGGGGAAGCCCCGGGCCTCGGCTATGACCAGCATCTCAATGCTCCAATCCAAGGTCCAGCTCTTCACTTCCCACCCTGCCCTGAGTGAGCCCCATTCCTGAATCCTACCCATCTGTAACTATGCCCCTGTTGACACCCCTCTCCGCAGGCCAAACCCAAGCATGCCATCACCATCGCCGTGTCATCGCAGGCTCTCTTCAACATGATGGACGGCAGGAAAATCTTTGAGGAAGAGGGTCTGGAAAAGTACATGGAATATCAGCTCACCAATGAGAATGTCATCCTGACCCCAGGGCCCGCATTCCGCTTTGTCAAGGTGCTCTGCAAAGCTGTCTTTGGCCCGCCAGGACTCTGGATGGCGAGGGGAGGACCCAGGCCCACCCCTGGGATCTCCTCCAGGTTCCCTGATAATCCCTAGTCCACTTTTGTCATTCTTGCCCTTTTAAAGTTAACCCCAGGTCAGTTTATGCTTTCAGAGGCTTCCAGACTGTTGAAGAAGGGACTCTATCCCTAGATTTGAGATGCTGGGCTTCCCTAAGTGAGCTCCTAACCACCAAACCTGTAACAGAAAACTCTGTTCCCTCCCTAGAAGCAGTGGTGGCCAGAAGCAATAATGAGTTTACAACTCCGAGTACTTCTAGAAATAAAATGCCTCATTAAAATGAGCTGAAATTCACTTTTGCTGCTCTTGCCCCAAACATAGCATATTAAGAAAATCAAGGTGCTCTTGGCACTTAAAGGCATGATTTTAATAGAGTAAGAGTCTCTGAACATATATAGAAATGTATAGCACTTGTAACTGGGATCCCCCCTATATAACGTAAACAAATATTATACAATAACATCATAACCAGGAAGAAACAAATGACACCTCTGCAAGTTGTGAGCAGAAAGTACTTATGGGCCACGGGAGGAGCAAGAGGGAAATCACACATCTATTCTAAAGACTTCTGTTAAAAAATAGATGAAATGCTCCCTTTGGCAGCACATACACCAAAACTGGAACAAGACAGACCATTAGCATGGCCCCTGTGCAAGGTTAACATGCAAATTCATGAAGCATTCTATATTTTTCACAACAAAAAATAATCATGAGATAATCAAGAAAGGCAGATTTTACAAGTCCCCCCTCCCCCTCAAAAAAAGAAAAAAAAATAGACAAAGCATAAAAGGATTAGCTTGATCCTTCCTGCTACCAACCCAACAGAGACAATTCTAGTGAACCAAATGTTGTAACAATTTTTAATAAACATTACCTATCTGTTCAGTAAACATGAACTGAATTCCTGTGTATGAGAGGCAGGAAAGACAGAGATGAATGGCATAACCCTGTCTTAAAGGAGCCATCTCTCTCCGTGAAGAGTCTTCGAGGCTTGAATTTGACTCTTGCAAGATCCTTTCTCCCCAGACTCCCAAAGCCCCGTCCACCTTCCTGGCCCTCTTTACCTACACTCATGTTTGTAACCTGCAGGCCCTGCAGCATGTCAACGCTAGACTCCGCGATCTGTACCCTGATGAACACGACTTATTTGATATTGTACTGATGACTAATAACCATGCCCAAGTGGGAGTGCGGCTTATAAACAGCGTCAATCACTATGGTAAGTAAAATAAATATCGTGTGGAAGAACAGCTCGCGGCTCTGGAAGAGAGAAGCCATGTTATTTTGCTAACTGTGGCCTAACTAATACAGTGTCTTTGATACTGACAGCCCCTTCTGCATGAGGAATGTTTATTTGCCTATGTCAGAGCAAGAGGGGCCATGTTCATTTTTAACTTCAGCACAGAGTTGGGCCCAAAGCTCGGGACTTAACTTGTCAAGTGTGAATTTCAAAGTCTTAATCCCAGGTCCTGCAACATATTTCTGTTTTATGTTTTTCACTTCTGAACATGACTTCAAGGAGCCGTCAACCCAAAGGCTTTCTCTGTGTGATCAGACTTCTTGTTCACCACAGATACATGTTAAAGGTTTAAAGGTTTTCACCTTTCTGTTCTACTCTTAAAATCTGATTCTCCCTGGCTGCTCTCGGAACAGCAAATCCATACTCGTGCAGGCAGAATTGTCTTTATTCCTTTACGTGGAAAACTGAATGGACTTTAGTTTCGTTATAGCATTTCCATCAGTGTGTAGGAGACATTCAAAGAAAGTTGCCATTTTTCCTTATGGAATTACTTCACTCATTTGAGAACTTTTAGCCTATTTTCTAAAAGCCAAAGATTTAAATTTGGTATATTTATAAATAATAAAGAGATGCTACAAGTTATGAGTTTTATGTTATACTAACTATAAGGTTGATGTCTTACTGAGACATACTTTAAAAAATGTTTGCCTTTCAAAAACGCAGCCTTTATGGAGTTATCACATGAAAAGAAGGAACGTATACAAAAAGTTTAGCATCGACGACTGCCACAGAATAATCACTCAATAAACTGCAGCTATTGTTTTTATAACACATACTCTTATTTGATTTAGTAGGTGGTTTAAGTCCATCTACCCCTCACCACACTGAGCCCACTGAGAGTAGAAACATAAAAAAATCAGTTATTTACCTATTATTTCTGCTAATTAACTGATTGAGCACAATCTTCTCATGCAGTCTGTTCATGGGTAACGACCTTTCACCTGGAAGTTAGTTACTTCCATAATGTGGGTGCTGAAGGCAATTTGTTTCTGTCTCTGCTGTCATCTTGGTTAACAATTATAATTATCTGTCCGCATGCCTGGCTCCTTGGTGAACTGTGATCTTCAGAAGAGGGATAATGTTTTAGTCATTTCTAAAGCCCCAGTGCCACCAAATAATTTCTGATTGTTAAACTAATTTTATTTAAGGGTTTATAGATTACAGTTTTGTGCCACCGACACCCAATGTTGGCTTAAGTAAACAAGTGAGAGTAATTTGTTAATACCACAGCAGACACTTCCACCTCAGCTGTGGATGGGCTCTGCCTACTCTCTCAGTTCATACAGATGAAAATAACTGACCTGACTCAAAATTCTGCCTTATATCCTGTGCAGCTACCCAGTTTATCACATACCTAAAAATACTTTGAATAGGTAAATAATATCTTACATACATGTTACACTTCATTTAACTATTCACACTTTGGTAAAAAATGTTTTGCTTAAATAATCCTGTGCTGAGGCTGAGACCTTTCTAGATAAATCTTTATAGGAATTTCAGATTATTCCTTTAGAATAAACTCCTAATAAAAGGAACCCTAGGTAAAAAGGTATAAACCTGTCAAAAACTCTTAAAACCTGTTGTCAATTACTTTCGACATAGCTTATACCAGTTCATACCTTCATTCACAGTGTATCTGGGGACCTGTTTTACAAACCACTCACCAACATCTAGTGTTTTTTTTAATTGTTGTTGATTTAAAGGCATTCGACGGTATATTAGTGTTTAGTCTAATAATTCCATTTAAAACTTCCAGTCAGGAAAGAAAGAGAATTTCAGACCTTTTGTTGTTGCTTTTAGAAAAGAGTCTAACTCCTAGCACTACTTGTTATTACCATTGTATTTTTACTAAAGAAATACATAAATGGTACTTAAAATAGAGCCACATTTTAACTGGCCTTTTCAGTAAGTGAGGAGGCTGCAGCTGAAGGACAGGAGTCAGTATGAACCAGTGGGCCAGGCAAGTCTTTATGTCTGTTTCCGTTTCTGTAATGAGGAGAATAATGCCTGCCATACGGTTGTCGTGAAACTCAATTGGCATGGTTTATGAGGATGGGCTTCCTAAGTTATCATGCACCAAAAACATCCGCTCTCCTGGAAAATAGCTGTGACATTTTTCCAAATTGGTGCTAAGCAGGTGATTCTAAAACCTCAGTAGATTCTCAGCTATTCCTAAGGTAACTCTCATTTGCATTTACAGTAAGCATATGCCTTTAATCATAACAATGTCTTTCTTGCCCGATGATAGGCTTACTAATTGACCGCTTCTGTCTGACTGGTGGAAAAAGCCCCATTGGCTATTTGAAGGCGTATCTTACCAACTTGTATCTTTCTTCGGATTGCGAAAAAGTACAAGAAGCAATACAAGAAGGTATTAGTGTGGTTTTATCCCTCCCGTTCATAAAGAGGTTTGCACTAGTGGTTACTTCCCTCGGGCTTCCCATATAACTATGTGGCTTATGCCTTTGCTGGATTTTCTGCTAAGGTGTTCACACAAGTGACAGCCCTTAAGTTTGGCCTTTAGAGCTTTGACCTTTCTGGAGGTGGACATCCTCAGTGATTGTCTCACGGCAAATTTTACACTTCCCCACCACTTATAAAAATGGAAGCAGTGCATAGACAACTGTGTTGAGATGTGTGGTTGTGAAGAGGAGTTGAGTCATCAGGGAATATCATCTAGAGAGAAATGCAAGTTTTGGGACGACTTTTTATACTTTTTTTTAACGGTAGAAACTAAAACTCCATGAATCTCCATGGTCTACTAGGAATTGCCTCTGCAACAATGTATGATGGAGCCAAAGACATGAATTACTGTGACACGCAGCTTCGTGTGGCTTTTGATGGAGATGCCGTCATCTTCGCAGAAGATTGTGAACACGGTACCAAGGATTACGGGCTGGACAAATATTTCCAACATGAAACACTATTTGAGAATAAACCTCTTGCTCAGGTAGGTTCAAGGTGCTCTAATTTTGATCTACTTATTTTTCAATGTATAGATATAGATATTTGTTCACTGTGATGGCTTTTACATTACTTTAGGCAGGACACTCCTCACTTCTAATCCTTTGTAATTTTCTGCCTTTCTTTCTTTCATGAACTCTTCTGAAATGTCTGCTGCTGACTTTTTAATTTTAGCGTTCTTTTATCTAGCCTTTTGGAAACGTTTCTATGATCTCACGTTAATGAGTTCACATCCTCCAAATTATGAGTAATAGAGGTATTATGACTCACTAATTAGTTGTTTCTACAGTATAGGTCCCCAAAATAGTAAGGTCATCTCCAGTAGGTCAGTAAACATTTGTTGAACCTGTCTGTCCATAACCTCAAACTCAGTAAAGGCATTACTTAACTGAGAAAATCTACACAACTGAGAGCTTAAATTGAATCAAATAATGAGCCTCAAACAAGTGCAAACTGTGAAAACCTAATCATGCTGAAACTGAATATTTAAGTTTTTTTTAAAATTAATCCATGAACTGAAGTGTTAGTGGCATAATCAGTAATGAACAAAACCTACAACTTCTGAACCAAAGGAAATTAAAAACAAAATCATCTCCAAAATGAATCTGAATTAATGAATCATTCAGTTTTAATCTATGACTCTTACCAAGAAATTTATTGGCCTTTTTTCTTAGCACTTGCTGAACTTAAAACTTAGTTATTTTTATTACATTTAAAGAAGTATGAAGAGGCTAACTGAAAGCTGAAAAGTTTTACTAACTCACCTCACATTACAGCAAGTAATTTTTAAACTCTGTGTGTGTGTATATAATGTCATACTCCATTCCTAAATAGCTTCTTTAGAAGCCTTGACCTCATGTTGTGAAGTTGTCTAGTATTAACAAAGTTTACTATTGAGGGGGAAATTGTTCATTATATTTTATATATGTCTGCTTTGCTAAAATTCAGAGGCAATAGTATCATAGCCTTTAACTATTATTGAAATGTGGAAGATCTCCATAAAAAGAACATTTAAAAAAAAAACTTTGAAAAGAGAATTACTTCGATAATCTTAAAATACGATTTTCTCATCCCAGATAAATTATCCAAATTTCTTTTAGGTTTTGCATTTATCAGTTATTTTTTCCATATTTTAAATCATTTTTTCCTCATTAAAAAATTGAAATTGTGAAGCCCAACATTAGTTATTGCAGGAATACCCACCAAATTTCTATTAATCGTACTTGTTTTCATTATGCAATAGATAAAAATTCTGTTTACATAGAAAGAGGTAGCTTTTCTATAAAGACGAGGTTTTGCCAGATGAGTTTCATTAATGAGAAAATAAATTATGAGGTATGATTCCTACCTAAGGCTTTCAAGTATGTTGGCCATGGGGTTTGGTCATGAAATGTTCCAAGTGTCTCAAATGGAGGAGATCTGAGAGTCATCAGCAAATGGGATAGCTGGAGAGGATTAATTTGGCCGCTCTCTGTGTAGCTTATAAGCCCCCAATGTGGCACAATGACTAGTAATTGATGTCTCCCAATTTGATCTGTACCTTGTCTCATCATTCTAGAATAGTGGTCTCCAAGTCTCTCAGTCTCTTTCAATGGCTCTCCCTCTCACTTTCTCTCTCCCCCCTCCACTATCTGTGTGTGTGTGTGTGTGTGTGTGTGTGTGTGTGTGTGTGTGTTTCAGAGCTGTTCAAGTACAATTTACATACAGTAAAATTCATCATCCTTAGTGGATGACGTCAAGAGTTTTGACAGACGCTTACGGTTGTGAAAACACAACCAAACTCAAAATACTCAACATACAAAATTCCCTCATGCCTCTTTGTAGTCATCCTTAGCCTCCTATCTCCAAGATCCGTCAGCCACTAATCTGAATTCTATTCCTACAGTTTTGACTTTTCCAGATATCATATAAATGGAACACCACAAGATACAATCTTTTGAATCTCACTTCTTTTTAGCCTAATGCATTTCAGATTCATCTTTTTCATTCCATGTATCTGTAGTTTGTTCCTTTTTACTGCTGAGTAGTATTCTGTTTTATGGATGTACCACATTATCTTTATCCATTTATCTGTTGGGGGACATTTAGGTCATTTTCAGTTTGGAGCATTTAAATATAAAACCACTTTAAGCAGTTACATACAGGGGTCTGTGTAAACATGAGATCTCATTTCTCTTGGATAAACACCTAGGAGTAGGATTACTAGGTCACATGATAAGCATATGTCAACCTTTATAAGATACCACCAAACTATTTGCCAAAGTGACCATACCACTTTACATTCCCAACAGCACTGAGAGGTCTTGCTCTACATCCTTGCCAGTATTTGGTACCGTCAGTTGCTGTTTGTTTGTTTGCTTGTTTTAAGCTATTTTTGTGGTTATATAATGGTATCTCATTGAGTTTTTAATTAGCACATCCCTAATGACATGATATAGAGCATCTTATCAGGTGCTTATTTGCCACAATATGTATTAACAAAAAAATCTGTTCAGATCTCTTGGCTTGTTTGGTTTTTTATTATTGAGGTCTGATAGTTCTTATTCTGGGTACAAGTCCATTATCAGCTATGTGTTTTGCAAATATTTTCTCTCAGTCTATGCTTAACTTTTCATTCTCTTAATATCTTTCAGTATTCTTCATTGAACAGAAACATAATTTTGATGTTCAGTTTACCAATTTCTTTTATAAAATGTGCTTTTAATATCATATATAAGAAATCTTTGCATAACCCAATGTCAAAAATATTTCTTCCTATGTTTTTGTACAGAAGTTTTATAATTTTAGGGTTGGGGGAAATATGACCAATTTTGAGTTAATTTTTATACTTGTGCAAAATATCAGTTGTTTCATTTTTGCCACTTACAGGTATCCTAATTGTTCCAACACTATTTGTGGGAAAACTGGTTTTCTGTTCCTCTAATATAAGTATCCATCTTTTACCAATATCACATTATCTTGATTATCATAGTTTTATAGTAAGTCTTGAGATTAGGTGTTACGAGTCCTCCAAATTTGCTATTTTTCAAAAACTTTTGGATATTACAATTACCTTGCATTTTCATATAAATTTAAGAAATAGCTTGTCCATTTCTGGGGAAAAAATCTTGCTGGATTTTTTTTTACTGTAGTTGTGTTGAATTTATATCTTAATCTTGGGGGAATAGATATATTAACAATATCAACTCTTGCAGCCCACCTGCATGGTATATCTCTCCATTTATTTAAGTCATCTTTGAATTCTTTCATCAGTGTTTTGTAGATTTCAGCACATGGATATCACCCATACTTTGTTAGCTTTATAACTAAGTATTTCATAACTTTTGGTGCTATTGTAAATGATACTTTAAAAGGCTAATTTCCAATTTGATTATTGCAAATATAAAGAAACACAATTGGTTTTTGTATATTGACCTTGCATCTTGAAACTCTGTTTTACTTTAAAAGTCACTTTTTAGTCATAGTAAAACTTTTGTAGATCGTTTGAGATTTTCTATGCAGACAATGTTGACTAAGAATAAAGACACTTTTATTTCTCTGTTTCCATTCTCTATATCTTGTATTTACCTTTCTTGTCTTATTGCCCTTCCTAGGCATTTATTTACAACATACAACTTTAATTACAATCTACTTTCAAACAATATTATGCCACAACATGTCTAGTATAAGAATCTTACTAAAAACAGTATATGCTCACTCCCTCTCTCCCATGTTTTGTGCTATTATAATATATTTTACGTTCACCTACACTATAAACTTACAATACCTTGCTATTTTTTATTTTTTATTTGGGGAATCAATTATCTTTAGAATGAATAAGAAAAATAAGACAAATATATCTTTTGCAGTCATCTTCATTTTAAACATTTCCAGAGATCTTCATTTCTTTTCTGTAGATTCACGCTTCTCCCTGTAGTATATCTTTGCCATAAGATCATCTTTTAATATTTCATGTAGAACTGATATGCTGTTACCAAAAGCTCTTAGTTGTTCTTTGTCTTAAAAACTCAGTTCTCCTTCATTTTTGGAAACTATTTTGGCTGGATATAGCATTTTTCATTTACCATATTTTCCTTTCAGCACTTTAAACCTTCTCATCCAGTGTCTTCTGATTTGCATAGATTATGACAACAAATTGTTTGAAATTCTTACCTTTGTTCCTCTGTAATATGTCTATTTTTCTCAGGCTACTTTCAAGATCTTCTATATTTGTTTGTTTCAACAGTTTGAATATGGTATGGTGTGGTATGGTGTGCTGTGGTGTGGTATCTGTGTGTTCCACAGCATATAAATGACGTGTTCTTTTTTCTTCATTACTTTTTTCTCTTTATATTCAGTTTGGGTTACTTCTACTGAATTATCTTCAAGTTCACTAATTCTTTTCTCGACTATATCAAATCTAGTGACATCAAAGGCATTTTTCTTTTTTTTTTCAAGCATTTTCATTCTACTTATCTTTTCCACCTCTTCAGTAGACTTAAATTACTCGTCTACTCACGTATGTCATCCACCTTTCAATACAGATAAGATGGTAATCAGTGATTTGCAATTCCCACTCATATTTAGGACATCTAAGCCATCACTCAGTCTTCTGTTAATTACTTTCTCTGGAAAGTTGATTTGTTTTGTTTTGTTGTAGTTTCATAAATCTTTGATTAACTTCCAATTACAGTGTATACATAGTAAAGGTTTGGGTAAATAGTATTCTGCCTGGTTATAGGTATGCCTCCTCTTCTGCTAGCAATTAGTGTGAGGAACCGAATCGAACAAACCAGGAGTTTGACTAGCTATGCATTTTGTTATTGCTATTTTTACCTTCATTTCACCACAGGCTTCTCATTCCTCTGGTAGGATGCTGGAGGGCATTTCAGTATTCCTGTTCCACTTCCAGTATTTGGTCTTCCCTTTGTGCCTGTGCCTCCGAGCGTTCTCCATATTGTAACCCCTCTCCCAACTGTGGCTCATTTGTCTCTGCCAGCTAGCTTGGTGATGTGTATGTAGGTGGCGGGGAGGGGCATTCTTTGTCGTCCTGGTTCAGCATAAGTCTAAGGCAGCAGCTGTATCTCCCTAGATCTTAGGGATGAAGTTTTATCATTGATCTTGCCTTTCCCCCTTTGATAACCAAATCTAATGGTCTGGGTCCACAAGAGTCTTCTGTCCCTTTCCCAGGAGTAGAGGGTTTTCCTTTCTTTTCCCCCATAGTAGTGAATTTTTACCTGTGGCCTAGGAGTAACTGTGTTTGGTCTGAAGCCCTTTTTCCAGAAGTTTAATTTTTGTTCCCTAGGAGATATGGGACAATGTGGAGTTTTAGACTTTTCTCACAGTGGCAGCTGCTGCTCTCCTCCAAGCCTTCACTGCAGGGACTGCATCCTTTCATCTCTTCCCCTGCCTGCAGTCTTTCTCATGAGCAACTCGTCACGTCTATGGGACAAAAGCCTGTAAGGGAGTGTGTATTTCTTGTGTCTGTAGCTGCCAGGACTTCCGTGCTTTCTCGTTAGCCTACGCTTTGCCTTTGTCAATTTGTTTTTAAAATTATCTGAATTTTTCACACTTGCTTGTAGGGTGTCTGGCATGTCTTCCTTCAGTGCTCTGCAAAGATGTGCCAGTTCTTGCAATCCATCTGTCTGTGCAGATATCTGAGATGTTTCCTTAGATTTTCTCTCCTTATATTTCATGTTGATCAGTTGCCCCATTACCCCAGCTCTCCAATGGGCTCAAGAAAAAACGTTTTTTAGATTATTTGGCTTTCTCCTATTGTTAGGACAGGAGTAAGTCTTTCCAGCTTTCTACATCCTAAGCAAATTCCAAATGTTTAATCATACAGCTCTTCAAAAAGGTATGTTTGAGTAACTTTCCTTCATATTTCTATATTTTCATTGACAAATTATATACTTAAACTACTGTACAAATACATAAATTATAAAACATACCCAAAAATGGAAGTAAGAAAGAATGATATGGCTACTTTTAATACGATGACATAAACTGACCAGTCCCTATTTATTCCCTTCGGAACATACTCAAAAATAGCAAGGAGAACTGTGTTCCTCTGTGTTTCAAAGCCAAACAGTGAGCAAGGTGGCTCTTGCTAATAGTCTCTACACCCTCTTTGCTGCTGTTCCCTCAAAAAAAGTTACAGTTTTTTTCACCTACGTATGTGCCTCTCATCTTTAGGAAGTGAATTTTCACTTGTTTTTCTTCTTATATATGCAGTCTCAGAGAAAGCAAAATAAATAAATGATCACATTGACAGCAATGCTTACAGAACACAGTTTGTTCCTAGGACAACAGAGAAGGGAGCTTTTGAATTGTGAAAACAAGTCAGTCTTAAAATATTATCCTTGACCTTCCCAGAAATCCCCTAATTATTCTTAGGAAAACCAATCTACTTCACTAATGACTGATAGAAAGGAAACCAGCACAGAACATATGCAAAGATACTATGAGAAAAAGGCAGAAAAGGAAGAGCAAAATCTAGTAACAGGTGAAAAACTCTCACTACAAGTATTTGCCAAAATACAGGTGAAATTGTGACTAAATATTTACCATGACTTTTAAAAATTTAATAAAGCAGGATCATAGAGTAGAAATGCCAGAATTGGGGAAGAGATGACAAAATATTAAAGGATAGAACTTGAAAATGAATAGAATTGAAAAATAAGATTTTAGAAATAGATCACAGATAAAGAAAATCCAACATATGCATAATTGGAATCCTTGAAGAAAAACATTGTTATGGGTTGAGGAGGACAGGATACGCATGGTAAATATAAGATACGTATGTATATAAAATATAAATCAAGAAAAAGTCCTGAATTACCAGAAGATTTTCATACATACATTAAACTATGAAAATATTAAAGGCCAGATTATGTAATAGGGAAATAGAACAGAATGATTATGAGACATGCCCTAATACAATTCTATGACTTCAAAGATGAAGAGATAACTCTTCAGGCAACCTGCACATAAAAGTTGGTGGCGGGGGAAGGGGGAGGAAATCAAGCCGTCCTCAGTGTTCTCCACAGGAGCACTCAATAGTAAAAGACAGTGAAGCACCACTTATCAGATCATATGGAGAGAAAATATAAATTACAGATTCTCTATCTAACCAAAAGTTCATTCGTGTTAAAAAGAAACAAGTCAACAGTTGAGAACATACGATATTCTCAGGAATTATTATTTCCATAGCATTTTCTTGACAAAACTAGGACTATTGGACACATTTTGGCCAACATGTAGATGACTACAAACACAGAGAGGCACAAATGGGCCTAGAATATATTTAACCACAGAACTGAAACTAAAACAATTGTAAGGATCGGGGAGCAAAAAAGAAAGTACATATTATGTGCCCTAACAATGTAGAAATTATATAACTAATGAAAACTGGAAAAACATGGTGGAAGAGGGTCTAAAAAGAGTAAGTATGCATATATCTTTAGTTATAATAGCTTATGAAAGGTCAAAAATAAAGCCGATAAATAGAAATATGAAAGTCTTTAACGATGCAAATATAAATGTCGAGAAAGATGAACAAGCGAAATTGGATGGCTGAGAAAGAAACAGAGGATAAGAGAGAGGTAAAGAAGGACCCTAATTTCATCATTTCTCATTTTAAAAAATAATAGATTCTGGATTTTAAAAAACAGAGTACTCTGGGTACTATAAAAAGTTATAGTTATAAAGGTAACAAATAGCAGGAAATAATACAATCCTTCTTAAATATCAGAAGAAACACAAATACACATGTACGAAGGTAAAAGACACTTGTCAGTGAATAATCCTTTAAAATCTTTAATCATAAAAAATACACTAAAAACCATAAGACAGCCTACTACCATGTATATCTGTAATGCCAATAAATATAAATATCCTAAAATGCAACTTTTGTTTTAAAAATTAAGACTTTCAGATTGGATCACATAGCAAAATCCAGTTTGAGGCTCTATGCCACAGCTACAGCTAAAACAAAGTGTCCGGAAAGGTTGAAGATGAAAATAAGTGTGATAATATACAAAGTATTTGTATACTTATATTTGTAAATATAAGACAAGGCTGGATCCAAGCCAACAAGACATTAAACAAGATAAAGGAGTATACTTTATGACGTTAAAATGTGCAATTTACGAAAAGCAAATTAAGAGTAGTGCTTTCCGTAATTGATTGAATAAAGTATCTACTTTGCCATGGATAGTTTAAGTCTGTTACCTTGGTTTCACTTTCGAATAGAAACTTTTTCACTCTTAAAATATCTATGTCTAGACAATAAATTATATGAGCATCCTACATTTATTCCAGGAATGCAAGGATGATTCCACATAAGGAAATATATTCACATAAATGCAAGGAGTTTGGGGATCGTGTCATAGACTTTATAATACTGCATGCAGTGTTATATTCTTTTATAAGCTCTTATAAGTCTCTGCTTTTTCAGCATTCACTTCCTTTGGCTCACTGGATCACAGCTGTGACATATGTTCCTTTTACAGGGTCCCTTGAAAGCCTTTCTGGAAGATTTAGGCAGACTGCAAAAGAAGTTTTATGCCAAAGACCAACGGTTATGTTGTCCTATCAGGACCTACCTGGTTACAGCCAGGAGTGCAGCCAGTTCAGGCGCTCGAGTGCTGAAAACCCTCCGCCGCTGGGGTCTAGAGATAGACGAAGCTCTTTTCCTTGCTGGGGCCCCCAAAGGTCCCATCGTGGGGAAAATACGGCCCCATATCTTCTTTGATGACCACATGTTCCGCATTGAAGGGGGACAGAAATTCGGAGCCACCACAGCTCATGTACCTTATGGCATTAATCAAAAATGAACAATTAGCCATGGGGAGGAGAAATAAAGCAGTGAGTCTGGTATCACAGAAGCCACTTCTTGTGGATCTCTAGGGTAATTAGATAGGTATTTCAGAAGACTGGACCTCAGAACTTAGTTCGTTTGAAAAGGTTTTTCTCCTAATTTTTTTAAAAAATATTTTGAACCCTCAAGTTACCTTCAAGTGACTTCTCTTTGAGCTGTCACTGCTGTTGAATACCACTGCATCTATCTTTATGTATGTGCAAGTCATACCTGATGACTCTTGAAGATAAGTTTAGAACTTGAATGCCTGAATGCTTAAAGAGCTACTTTGTCTTACAAAGCATTGCTCATTTTTGGATGCTGGTATATAGAATAAATTGTCACCCATCATCAAAACAGAATAGCGGTCTTCAGAAGTGGAAAGAGTAGGATTAAGTAGACTCTTGAAAATTCGAGCTTTTTAGTCTGTTGCCTCTGTGACCAACCTTTAAATCAACACAAAATGAAAATGTCACTCTGCCTGCATGTGTATACCAATTTTGACACTAGTCATTGAGAAATAAATCAGCTGGTTATTCCTACAGGGCACTTTCCATCTAAGATGAGTTCCAAGCAGAACCACCTAGGAAGGGTTCTTTGAAACTTATTTGGTGGATTCACTGCATCTGGACCACAGAGCTTCATATATGAAGTTGCTGGCTTTGTGCCTGGTAGGTAGGCCTAATGTTTGCATGGCAAAATAAGCCTTTGCCACCACTTCAAAATGTAACATAAAGTGTAGTATCCTGGCTTTTCACTGTTGTCATTCTGTTGTGATATTTGTTTTGTTTTCAAAAAACACCGGTTGGTTATTAACCATAATCTACTACATGTTAAGGCACAGTGAACTGTGCCTTTTCGCGTTCTCTCATTTCTCATCAAACCAAACATTTGTGACATAGTATTCTTACCCTCATTTTTAATCAATGAAGAACCTAAGATCAAAAAAAGATTAAGTAGCTTGTCCAAGAATAGCAGCTAATAAATAGCAGGACTAAAATTAAAATTTGGGTCTTATTTACTTCAAAAGCCGTTTTCTCTGTTATACAGCCTTCCAAATTTTCTTATTGATTCCATGGGCATAGGACCCATCCTGAATAGATTAGTCATTCCATTAAGTTCTGTGCTTAAGTTTACAGCAGTTACATAGCAGGTCTGGGGGTTTCTCTCCTCTTTTCTCCACATACTCTCGTTTCTTGTACCCCCACTTCGATCTCTATACCACATATGCATATTCCACCCTGGCTCTAGTTAAAGAAGGCCAGTGCTGACATACATCACTTGAAATGCTTCCTAATTTGATGTAAGCCAGTCCAAAATATATCAGTCATGACACTTATTGAGTACCTAGTGTTTTGTATGCATTCCCCAATATAAAGATCACAAGAGAGACTCAGACATAATCCTATCTTTTAGGAAATTTAAGACTTTAACAACCTCATAGAGGAAGTCAAATGTGCAAACTCAGCCAACACTAGAGAGCTGATTGTCCTCAGTGCCAAGTGAGGGTCGCACAGGAGGTTGAAGCAGGTAGGTGTCCATACGGGCTGGAAGTGGTCAGGAAATGAAAAGAACCGAGATGGGCTTTGAAGGACAGACAATGGATAAAACTGAAGAGAGAAGAAACAGTTGTGTTCTGGGCTTGGTGAAGTTTGAGGGGCACCTTTAAATTATAGAAGTATGGAATAAAGGCCACCACTTGTGACGTCTGTTCCCAGTGCCTTGTCTAATCCTCAGTGATGGTGCTTTTTCCCACCTCTGTGCTCCATTCTCAGCACTCATCAAAACCTTCCTCTGGCATTCCATCCCTTTTCTCTTTGTACTGGGACTATCCATTGCATGTTATATTCTTCCCAAATATAAGAGAGAGGAAGAGAGTTTATCCAAATCTCATAGGGAGTTTATTTCAAACCATACACATCGTGTGTGTCTCTTCTCTTGGCCTGAAGGTTCTAGAATGGGGCTGGAGTAGTGGAAATTTCTACACTAGACAGTAAGCACCCTATTTTTCTGTGACTCTCACAGGGCACAGGGCCTGACACCTACCGGATAGGCGAGTACATGAATGAATGACCACTTAAAAGTAGTTTGGTCTAAACCCATGAAGTCTGCAGCTTGAAGATGGGTCCCTGTGGCAATAACCAGTATTTCTGAAGGATTTTCTAGTATATAAAGCACTTTTCCCTCCACTTTTACATTTAATAGTCTTGTGGAGGGGTTGGGGAAGCCCCGGTGAAGCGGCCTGCTCAGAAGTCTATGTTTATAGTAAGTGCTTTTCCTACTGTATCTGTGCCAGTGTCAAGTAAGACCATTTGAGGATTCCTTTATCTATAGGGACCAATGCCATCATGGTCTTCAGTTCTCAAACCGTGTCCCCAGATCAGCAGCATGAGAATCACCAGGAAACTTGTTAGAAATGTGCATTCTCCGGTCCCATTTTGGACCTATTAAATTCAGAACTCTGGTTCTGGGACCCTGAATTCCCCGCCCACCAAGCCGTTCAGGTGATTCAGATGCAACACTAAAGTTTAACAACCACTGGTCCAGTCTGTCCCCACCTGATTCATGTTGCTAACTGCTGAGCCTCATCTCGGTGAGGAGGGTGGGGGAAAACCTTTCCTCAGACTTCGGTAAGCAGGGAGAATTCTCCAGAGGGTGAAAATAAAATGAACTGGGGTTAACAAGTCCCAGGAGCCTTTAACGGAAAAGACACTATAAGCCAGCCTTTAAGTGTAGGATTTGTAAACCAAACTATAAAGGGATTTGTAAATTCAAAATATTCATTAGGCAGTCACACGAAAAACAGCCACCACCACTCTGGGATTTCCTTGGGTAGGAACTCTAACAGCCAGAAAACCCGAGGTCTGTGCTCACCCTACACTCCTAGGCTGGAAGCCGGCTCCACGGAGTCACCACGACCCGCAGCGCGGGCCTCTCAGAACCAATCAGATGCCCTCGGAAGGGAAACTACAAGTCCCAGCATGCCCCACGCCGCCGCGGCCAGGGACAACTAGCCGCGCCCCAGAGTTCTTCGCGTACAGGTGGCAGCCTCGTCCCGCGGCTACTCTAGAATTCCCGCGAGAGGCCTGTGGGACCTCGGCTCGGGCTTCTATGGCTGCTGCTGCAGTGGCGGCACTGCTGGCCGCACTGGGTGGGACTCTGTGGCTGGCGGCCCGGCGGTTCGTGAGGCCCAGCGTCCAGCAGCTGCAAGGAGGCGGGAACGGGAAGACCGTTCTGATGCACGGAAAGACAGTGCTGATCACGGGGGCCAACAGCGGCCTGGGCCGTGCCACGGCCGCCGAGCTGCTGCGCATGGGGGCGCGGGTGATCATGGGCTGCCGGGACCGCGGGCGTGCGGAGGAGGCGGCGGCTCAGCTCCGCCGCGACCTCCTCCTGGCTGGGGGCCCCGAGCCGGGCCCCGACGCCGGCGGGGCGGAGCAGCTCGTCATCAAAGAGTTGGACCTCGCCTCGCTGCGCTCCGTGC